ACCTTACCTCCTTACTAACCTAACCCCCGCAACCCCAAAGAATCCCTCCTCAACGGCGCCGTCAACGAAGCCAGTTTCGCCCAGTTATCCCACCCGCTGCCGCCGCCGTCCTCGGGCCTTCCCCAACCGCCCCTCAAGGCGACCCAGATGCTCGAGCAGTACAACCACTTCAGCAGCTCGTACCGCATCAAGCGCCCCAAGAGCGAGGCCCGCTTCGTCCGCCAGTTCCTCAAGAAGCTCGACCCCCGCGCCGCCGCGTACATGCAGCGCAAGCTCCGCCAGGAATACCCCGACCTGGCCCGCCTGCTCCCCCGCGCCGAGACGAGCCCCAAGACCGCCGTCGTCTTCTCCGTCGACGTCGGTAACTTGCGCTGGGAGCACGTCAAGACGGTCATGAGGAGGATCGATGGGAAGGAGCTGTTTAGTCTCTTGGAGGCGGACTGACTAGGAGAGTAGGACGCGGGCCTGTGCTTGTGCCTGTGCCGGACAGATAAATAAATAAATAAATAATCCAGAATGGCGACGATGCATGGCAGGGTTTGCTGGAATGCTATAGTAGCTATGCTAGTCAGTCGAGCACTGATCTATAAATTAGGTACCTAAGGTAGGTAGCTGTCCATACTTGTATGAGAAACCTGATACTGTATGAGAGTCGGATTCCCAATAGATAAATATTTACACAATTCCTGTGAGTGGTAATACCACTCATGTCAGATAGACTGTAATAGCAATTGTGCTATTAACAAATACACTTTTGGCTCAGCGGTGTGTCTGTCAATTAAGAGTCTCATATGCTTGAACCCGTTTAAGAACCGAATCAGAACACCCTGGGCCAAAAGTTTGCAAACGAGTACGCACAAGACCATCCTAAACCTCAGGGTTCGATTCTAGGATCTTACAGAGATCAAAAAGTCCAGAGGTCCAATAATCCAGAGGCTCGAGATATCCAGCTTTGCCCAGAATCGTCCTCACTTGAGGGGGTGTGTGAGTGGTAATACCACTCATAGGTCAGACAATTGTGCTATCAAGAAATACACTTTTGGCTCAGCCGTGTATCTGTCAATTCCTTTTTATTTTTTAAATTTTTAATGCCCTCAGTAACTCTTTGATTTAACCCTACAACCAACCATTCTTATCCATGATACATTAACTACACGCAGCAATTCATCAGATAGCAAGGCCCTCCGCATCCCCCGCTAGTCCCGTGGTGTCCAGACCAGTCCACTTGTTAATCCAACCCAGGACCTCCTTATGCCAGACGAGCGAGTTCTCGGGTTTCAACACCCACTAGTATAGAGATAGTAGGTAATTAATCAGCAATTCCGCCCATCGAAACTAGGTAGGTAGGCAGGTACAGGTAGGTAGGTAGGCATACTACCCCCTAACAAGTACTAATGCAAAGGAAGAAAGAAAGAAAGACTTACGTGGTTCTCGTCAGGGAATATCAACATCCGACTAGGCACGCCGCGGGTTTGGAGGGCTATTATCGGCACGTTAGCATTTCATCCCATCCGCTCATACACTTTTCCCCTCCCCTTCCCCTCCCCTTCCCCTCCCCCCTGTCTCTCTTTTCTCTCTTCTCCCATCTACCTATCCACGTACGCCAATGCTATTCCCCATGTACTATGTAATAAGTAAAATACGTACCATTAAAAGCCGCCAATCCCTCCGAGATAGGCAGACGGTAATCGAGCTCGGAGTGGATGACGAGCTGGGGAGTAGCCCAGTTGCCCGCGGAGGCGGCGGGGTCCCAGCGGGCGTAGCCGTCGCGATTCTCCCAGAGGGTGCCGCCGAAGTCGTGCGACGGGAAGAAGAGCTCCTCGGTCGACCAGTTGCTCATGGTGCTGAAGATGCCGTCGTGGCAGACCAGGGCTTTGAATTTCCTGCCGAGGGGGTGGCCTTGGATCCAGTCTGATGAAAGAGGGAGGAAAGGGGGGTTAGTTACACGGGTAAAAATGCCGGGGGGAAGTAGTAAGAAAAGGGAGAGGTTGGGAGATTGGCAACTTACTGATCATGTACCCGCCATAGGAAGCGCCAAGGGCCACAGCGTTGTTCGTGTCGATGTAAGGAATGTTATCGGAAATGTGCTCGAAGCAGTTTACCACTATATCCAGCATACTCTGTCAGCCAGACGCCCTTCAGAGTAAACGTGTCTAAGGTAACTCTACAGCAGACTTCGAGTTCAGCGACAATCTATACTTACGATCATTGTAAGGTCTTCCACCCCAATCCTGCGTAATGCCATCAGTGAACTTTTGTCCGTAACCGGTGCTACCCGTAGGGTTCGGCATCACAGCGACGTAGCCCTGCTCAGCGAACACGGCGGGATTCCACCTGGTGCTCCAGCTCTGACCCCACGCGCCTTGTGGTCCTCCGTGGATTAAGAATGCCAACGGGTATTTCTTGCTCGGGTCGAAGTTAGAGGGCTTCATCACCAAAGCATGGACTTGGTAATCCCCCGCGCCCTTGAACCAGAACTCGTCGACCTGGTTTTTTGTCAGACCGAACGATTTCCCTTCCTTGGAGCTGGAGGAGATGAGTGCTGTTTCCTTAGATTCCGGATCGACGATAGAGTATGAGGAGTTATCGACGAGAGACGTAGACGTGATGAAGAGGCGACCGTCTTCGTGGGAGAGGTTGTGGAAGTCAGTTACAGCGCCGTCCCTGGTCAACGGTTGCGGTAGCTCCTTAGCTTCTAACGGGTTCGAAGGAAGTCTAAATAAGGCCTGTCGGCCCTCCTTTTCGGCCGTCACGTACAGCTCCTTATCGTCGTTGCTCCATACAATACCTTCCGGCCGCAGGTCCCAGGCGCCTTCGCCATCTTCCGTTTTGTAGAACTCTTGCACGTTGCTTAGGTCTTTGATATCGGGGATTAGTAGTAGGCGCCACTTATCGGACTCGTACTGCCTATTCTTCATACGCTTAAAAACCACCTTGGTGCCATCGTGCGAGAATACCGGGACACCCGAGTAGCCTTGCAGCTCGCCGGTCTTGACGATCTGGGGACGAGGGGGCTTCGCCTCAGTGAAGGTCTTGAGCGGCACATAGTAGAGGTCGGTCTTGGTCCATAAGGCAGGATTTAGCTCGGGGTCCTTAGAGACGAAAACTATTCCCTCCTTGCCGATATCATAATCACTAGCATCTCCAAAGGGCGGCACGGGACATTCAAGTTTCGTGCCCGCTAGTGCATTCACTAGGTTTCGATCTTGTAGCCTGAAGTAGTCTCCATCTTTCTTTAAGGCTCCGTAGAATAGCCCCTGTCTATGCTTGGAAACATACGAGTCCCAATGCCGTACAAATAGGCTTGTATAGACTTTGCCGGTTGACAGCGGCTCCTTCTCATCTTTCGGGTTTAAAAGCTCTCCTGATGATGTTGCAGGAGCCGTGGCAGCAAATGCTATGGTGCCATTTCCGATGTCCCTAGCCTTGATATTATATAGCGAGGTATTAAAGGCAGCAATCTCATATGGTCTAAGTGGACTTGTAAGTACTGTATCCTTCTTCTTGTAGGTATACTTAGGGCCTTAGGCTTAGGCATCTATCTATATACCTAGGACGAATATACTCACTCTGAACCTGGCTTGGTCGCATCTGCTACGAGGAGAGACGTCTTAGAATTTTGGTTCCTCAACAAGATGAATTCGGTCTCGGAAATCCAGGTCGGCTCGGTATAATCCGGGTTGTCAAATAACTGCGTTGACTGTCGGGACCTGATATCCAGGACCTTGATGGCATAATCCTTGGAGTGGGACTCAAACGAGTATTGAGAGACTGACAATTATTAACTTAAGTACCTCAAGTTATTCTAAGATGGTAATATGTTTAGCTTGTAGGGACGTACCAGTAAAGAGAGCGAGGGTGCCGGTACTATTAGGCACAGCAGGACTACGACGAGGAGCGGAGAGGAGCACTTCGGGAGTGAATTTGGTGGCCATAACCGTCATCTTGGATGAGAGATTGGAACGATGACGTTGAAGCGGGGGGATTATGTACTTATTTTTTGTATATAACCTTCAGAAAGGTTCCAAGTTGCTTTTAAGAGGTACGAGATAAACTTCCAAGGTTGTCTTGATAAATCACCACAATGTACAAGTAAGTACCTGGCGTATATATATAGGTGCACATATGTCTATGTACTTTGTAATTTAGGCTCCGTTGCTCTCTCCGTTCATCAAGGTGTTCGCTATGATTGGCATTTACAAGTGGGTAGGTCTTTTAGTTATGGAGTTACTACTTGAGCTAGTTCATACCTATACATTAGGTAGTTGGAACCTTCCCCCGCACGCCGCACGCCGCACTCTGCACGCATAAAGGGTCCCTCCTGATTGCATAGCATTGCGTGATTCATAAATGATCCGTCTCAGCTGTTTGTAAGTCAAGGTAGTGAGTAATACATAAAACCTCAAATCTGGAAGACAACGCATTGTATTCGGGCCCTTCTTGCTATATATTAGATAGGTACCTACAGGTAACTTTCCCATCCCCCTTTTGGATTAAGGACGTTCTTATATTATAAATCCACAGCCGCAGGTATACTAACTAAGAGATCTCATCGCTACATGATATCATCATGGTTTTCTTTCTCTCTCCCTCTCTCGGTTTAAGTTTTACCTTAGTCTACCATTCGTAAATCTAGACTGTTGGGTATCTTCAGCGGGAATATAACGGTGTGAACCACGAATACCATCTCTTCTTAAAAAAAAGAAAAGCACGTAAAAAAAGTGCTTTTGTTATATTCCCAAATAAACGCCCTACCTAACAAACCAACGCCGTCAAAGCTAAGCCAGCCAGTCAGTCCGCCCACTCGCCCGCCCACCCGCCGATAAACGCCGAAACCACACTGGATAATGCGGGAAACGAAATCCCATTATAAACTCTTGTAATGTACCTAAGGTACCTGGGTACCTAGGTTAGATAGCCTTCACTTTCGCGAGGCGCCAAAGTGCGTTCGGACTTTCTTGGTTTCGCGGGAGTCCGTCTCGCTGTCTTCCGCATCCGCGTCTTTGTCCTTCTTCTGCGTCCTCTTCTTGCCCGTCTTGCCGGCCTTTCCGGAGCCCCTCTCGGTCGCGGACGTCGGCGTCGGGTGGTTTGACGCGCTGTCCTTCTCCCTGTTCGCGAAGGTTGTAGAGACGGGGGTCGGCGCGCCCGGCGTCGAGGTTGCGGATGTTGCTTCGGTATTGTCGGGCTAGAACGGCGAAGGTAAAGAATGTTAGCATGAGAAGGGGGGGGGGGGGGGGGGGGGGGTAATTTTGGTTGGGGCCCCCGGAAGCGAGAAAAAGAAAAGAAGCAAAAAAAATACGTGTAGGTTATTTTAGGATAAAGATGTTAGCCAAAAAAAAAAAAACAAGT